TGAGTCAAAAACCTCACTGCCATCTCTCCAAGACATTTCCAAACCTCCACTGGTATGCCATCAGGTCCTACTGCCTTCCCCTTCTTCATTCTATTCAGAGCTTTCCAGACTTCACCCTCACTAATCTTTCCCACTTCCTGGTCCACAGTTTCTATGACCTCTACTCTTCTTTCTCTTTCATTCTCTTCATTCATTAGCTCCTCAAAGTACTCCTTCCATCTTCCCATCACACTCTCCTCACTTGTTAGAACATTACCATTCCTATCTTTAATAAGCCTAACCTGCTGCACATCCTTTCCAGCCTGATCCCTCTGTCTTGCCAATCGGTACAAGTCCTTCTCGCCCTCTTTAGTGTCCAGTCTCCCATACAACTCATCATACGCCCTCTGCTTTGTCTTAGCTACTTCCCTCTTTGCTCTATGTCCCATCTCCTTATATTCCTGTCTCCTCTCTTCAGTACTCTCACTGTCATATTTCTTCTTGGCTAATCTCTTTCTTTGAACAGCGTCCTGCACTTTACTATTCCACCTCCAGGTTTCCTTATCATCCATTCTCTGTCCAGATGACACACCAAGTACCTTCCTACCTGTCTTTCTAATTACTGTTGCTGTAGTAGCCCAGTCATTTGGAAGCTCTTTCTTACTACCCAGAGCCTTTAACAGCTACTCTCTGAATTTACTGTCATAGTTTTTATTAAATATATAAATAAACTTTTATCAATTTATGGTCAATTGAAAACCTTACAAATAAATCTGTGGCAGATTAAGTTATCTATATTTGTGTTTAGGTTTGGATCACAATTGTTAGATTGGCTTTTGCAATGACTCTCCCTTTCCTTATTACCAATAAACAAAGCTAAGAAACAATTTGAACTCAAAGCTGTCTTTGTGAATCCGGGATCAGGTGGTCAGAAAGATATATAAAGTACCAACAACATGCAGCATAACAGGCCCAAAAACAAAGAAAGATGTCACAGGAAGTGCCTCTGTCACTTGTGAGTCCACCACTGAACAACAAGGTTTTGTGTTTTGTGTTTGAAGCATGCAAACAAGCCACAACCAGAACAACACAACACGCAAGGGAGTTTACCCAAAATACTTTTCTGTAAACGGAAAACTCTGCCTGTGTTTATTCTCTATATAAGGTAATAATAACAATATTTTTAAATGATATTCCTGCATGCAGATAAACACATCAGACTCAACGTTATCACCGGCGCCGCGACATTCCTACGTTTTATCTGCTGGCATCCTCTGGTCTTTACAACAGCTGCCCTGTTTATCTCCTGCTCAGTGAAAGGCTTTGCAATTGATACATTCAGACATTATTAGGAATCAAAAAGGTAATAATCTCTGCTGTTGTGGCATGTTTCTCAATACCCTTAAAACGTTCTGTTATGGAACGTCCACTCAATCACTTTTGTTTTGCCTGAAGCTGTATCTCGTAAATACCGCAGAATATTGCAAAGAATCTGTGACAGTTCACCGAAGATCAAACAGCATGTTGCTTTCTATTTGATCCATGTGTTGTTTCGACTGGCAGCAGGCGGGTACTTATTCATGTTTGCTGCAAATGCTTGTGTTACAAGAGCTTGTTACAGGGCTAGAACTTCCATCACCCACTCAATTTATTTGTCAAGAGGTGGGAAAAAAGCTGAAGGGATAGCTTCTTCCCTCCCCCATCGTCTCTCACCAGGGTTCGCCATGCCGTGACTGAAACTATTACATCTCTCGTTTTACAATAAAAAACACGACTAGGAAGGAAAACAATTTGGCAAGGACAGATTTATACAAATTGCAACTCCTAAAAACAATTATTCAGTTTTGCTTCTTAGTCATAGACCGAATATTTGTTTGGGTTTTCTAGCCACAGTTGACCCTGTTAAATTTCACTAAGCTCCTCTGTTTTGTTTTTGTTCCTGAGGCTGCCAGTATTCTGCAGCAACCACAACACATGCTTCCATCTATTGCATGAGCCTTTTTTAGGGTTTATGTAGATTGACGTAATATATCACTCAAGTTCCTTTTTTAATGAGGTTTTTACAGATTAGGATTTCATTTGTACCGGCCTATTTAACTAAATATTAAAAAGGACAATGCAGGTTCTCAAACATTTTCTTTCTGTTTTTTTTATTTTATTTTAATTTAAATTTTTGTAAAGCCTAATTAAAAATGCAAAACTTGGAGTGAATCCTTTTCACAAGCTTATTCATTTTGGTTAGTGAGCACCTTTGCCTCACACTGTTGGGCAGTTTCCTCACAGCAGGAACATTTTAAAGTTGACTCTGGCTGTGGCATTTCTGCGTGTTCATGTTTTCCAAGTTTTTTAGAAGTGCTCTCCTGGTACTCTGGTGTCCTACAGCCCCCCAAAACCTGCATGTTAGGTTAATTGGTTGATCTTAATTGTTCCTAGGTTGGCATGCAAGCACCAATGGTTGTCTGTCTTCTTCGCCCCTGTGATGGACTGGCAACCCGTTCAAAGAGTTCCCTGCTTGTCACCCACTGACAGTTAGAAATAGGAACCAATTTTCCTGATTGTTCCAGTTCAGGATTATAGAAAAAGTAAATGGATGGATAGATTTCCCAAGTTACTTTCTGGGACATAGTTTGGCTGGCTAATTAAAGTCATTTATGCAGAACTATGACATTTTTGATGTCTGAATGTCTAGCAACTGTTAACCAAGTAATGCAATTAGGCTCTTATTTGTCCTATTTAGTGATAGATTGCTGCTGAACATCATGTTGCCCATATATATTTGTTGCAAACTTAGCTTTTTTCTCATCAATATTCTTTGCCACAAAGGGTATACTCTATCTGTAAAACACTTCAGTGCTTGCAGACCATAGAACTGATTAGTTTAATTTCTTAGGAAAACACAAAATAACAATGTGATTATATCTTATTTAGTTTAGATGTTATCCTGCAAGCCATGTCTTATTAAACTGTGTCTCAACCATGCAAATGATATCCCATACTTGTGTTTACTAATATGTTATGCAAGAGGGGCTCATAAGACACGACTGGAACACCATTGCGTTGACATTTTATAGTTCCCAAACAAATCACAATCAGACTGGGGATTAACAAATAATATGTTACTAAAGCCCCCCAGATTAAAATGAACAGTTTTAAAAGTATTTCAAATGTCTTGTTGCCAGACATCACTGGAAACCCAAATCAGTGCCTGCACTGGTCAGTCTTTTTGGCAACACAAGACAAATGAAAGTGAGTGATCTGCAAGTAAACTGAGCTACAGTTTTTGGCTACAGTTTGCAAGCAGCAAATTCCCAATCATTTAGTCAGTGTTTGTTGAAGGAGCAGTCCTTTTCCATTGGTGTCACATCCATCCATCCATCCATCCATCCATCCATCCATCCATCCATCCAT